GAAAAATAAATTGCGCTTTATTGGTTGTAATTAAAAGTATTCAAAGAGTGGATTGGTAAAGAAGAAGATGGAATTTCAAGAAAGTATTCAGAATAAGTAGTTGCAAAATCTGGCAGTAGTTTTAGAATCCAGTTATCAAAGTTGTTATTTATTCAAATATCTTTTCAAGAAAGATTAATCCTATCCCAATATTTTTTTTGGAGAACAGAATTCTGTCAAATGTCTTTTTTAGAGAGTAGGATTCCATTGTTATCACTAAAATGTGATCAAATTTATATTTGATCAATGTATCCAAGTGAAATTGCTTTTAAAAAGACAATTCCCAAAAAAGGAATTAAAGAAGTGGTTTATAATAATAAAGAAGTATCAAAGAATAGATTCATTAAGAATTCTTTAAACAGTGTCATACAGTGTTTCACAAAAAATATAGTTCATTCAAAACTTAAGTTTATTAATAAATCAAGAAAACTAAGACAATTTCTTTAGTCCTAAAATCAAAAGAAAATATCCAATTTCCTAAAAGAAAAGTGAAGTTATTTCTAAACTTTCAAAATTAAGTAAAAATATTTACAAACTTATCCTACTTTTGAGCGAATTATAACTGCTTATATACTTGTAAAAATGGGTCTTCTAGGTCTCCTGGGCTAACCTGATCTACAGTATGTGTTATATTTGATAAAGTGATCTATGCTAATAAGTATCAATACGAATATCAAAGAATATCAAAGAAATAATTATAAATAAATAGATAAAAATAGAAATAGAATTAAGATCATAACTATAAATAACTATCTAATGGTATTAGAAGCTATTTTTATCATAGTACCTGAGCCTTATCTATAGTTTTTTATCTTACAATACTCAATCTTTCATATCAGACTTTTAGGTTTTTGGATTCTAGACCATTATGCATAAATTGCATTATCTATATGACCCATAACACTGTATATATATATCAAAACCACAAGATAAAAATAATTTATATAAGACCTATGGATCAATAATATAGTGTTAATACTTTCAGATTATAATCACAAGATCTATAGTTCAATACCACTTAAGGACCAAAAATCAAATTACCCTTCTGATCAAGTTTACCAGCTATTCTGTGAAAGACATACTCAATTATCCAGAACAAGCTTCAATTAGGATAGGCTATATGAAGATAAGACTTCTGGCTTTTTGTCAATCAGAACTGAAATCTACAGTCATACTACCAGAAGGATTGTATAAAGAAAGGCTTCTGGTATAGCCCATCATAAAAATGCTCCATAGATCCCCTGCCTTGGTAGTCTCCAAAACACATGCTCTTCTAGCTCAGGATATTCCAATATAGTGCTCTGCTTAAATAAAAATCAGTTAAATGAAACTAATCTGATATCACAGGTGGTAACAAAAAAGGTAAAGTATTCTCTTTTGAAATCTGAGCAAATAATATCTTTGAAAGTATTGAAAGGTAAAAAACTAAATCCTATCAGATATATATTATATAACCTAGTTTAGTGAATATATTACAAAAATTTATAAAAGCTCACTATTAAATTAACCTGTTTCATTATCTATGATAGTATATTTGACCATCTGGCCTCTAGCTAGATCTGTCTCATTTACAAAGTAATAGCAAGTTCATCTAAAGAAAATTGTGATAGATTATCATTAATTTGTATATATATAGAAATATATAGTTTGTATAAGATAATTGATGTCATGCCAAAAGAATTTCATTATTCAAGATATTAAGTTAATTCTTAATACAAGTGCTCACATCTAATATCAGTTGCAATTTTAAAAAAAAAAAATAATAATAATAATTCATATAAATAAATAAACACATTAAAACAATACAATAAAATTTTTTATTTTATTTTTTTTTTTTAACCTGCAATCATATCACCATGGCTTTTCTTTATTAAAAATTGAAATAAATCTACAATATTTTATAGACTTTCACAAAGTGACTAACTCATCTTTATACTAAAGTACTTACTTTAAGTCAGGATTATTGTCAACAGTTTGTTGCTGTTGATTGTCCAAAAATCAATAAATTGCTATAATTCAAGATCTATCAAAAAAATCCAAAAATAAAAACAACTTTTTCTCAAAAGGGATCTGCCTGATTGGGATAGTCTTTTGCTTTACTTGAACCTCAAAGAAATTTTTTTTCACTATCTGTGACATCAGACAAATCAATCTAACTGATCTTTCATTTAAGTAAGTACTGGATTGGAATATTTCAAGAAAAGCATTTAAATCTCAGCTTTTTTCTATTAAAACTTTATTACCACTTGAGGAACTTAGGTAAGAGATGAGAGTTTGCAATTCGTATTACCCATTACTTGATTTTTTGATGTCATAGAAGTTTTCATTAAGGGACATGAGCTTTTGGGAAACAAAAGTTTTTAAAACTTTCTTTCCAATCATTAATGACATCATCAGAACATATGAATATGACCAATAGGAGCTTGTTTACATTCTAAAAACTAATGTATTTTATGTCAGTCAATCACCTTTGGTGAGGATTTATGCTATCCAAAATTTAGGGTCAAATTGAGATAAATAAAATTTCTCAGAAAACTGTAAAAGTGAAAGTTTTAAGAGGGTCAAGACAGTCAAAAAGGAAGAAAATAAGTATTTTACTACAGAAAACCTCTATAAATCTCTTGTTTCAAAGGTTAAATAGGCCTTCAAGTACTTCACAATCAGTTTTTATTCCTTTGAAAACTTTTTTGCTGTTAGTATCAAAGGTATTACTTGACTTTTCTTGGTCACTAGAACTCAAGTTTTTGAGTGAAAATGTTTATAAACAAAAAAGAAAGGATAAATGTGACTTTTGAAATCATACTTCAAATTGTTTTAAAGAAAGTATTAAAACTTTATTAGCAAAAAAGTGTAAAAACTTCTTATAAACATCTTTATTATGTGCTATAGTTTTTATTTATTTCAAAATAATGTTGTATATATGATAACTTACAGTATATATAGTAAATACATTATATACTATATACTGTATATTAACTAGCTCATTAAGGGAAATCACATGATGCTTTCTTAATTTTTTCTAAAATAATTTTATAGAGTAATCTAGTTATCAGACTATGCATTTGCTCTAGTCTGTTTTCAAATTTGGAACTTCAGCATAATCTGTAGATTTTTTCTCTCATTAAGGTTTCCCAATAATAAGTATTATCAAATTTTAGTTATGCTTTTATACATTCTACTAATACAATATTTACACTCTTTGGAACTTCAACCTTCTTAACTTGTAATAACTTCTTGTGATTAGTAAAATCATCAAGATACCTAGTACCAATCCAGTCTTTATTCTGGTTGACCACAAGATCAGTTCCATTATTCTTTACCTTATCAAGGTATTAATAAGATATTAATTATCTTATAATATTTATAGACTGATCTGATCCAATAAAGATCAATTATAAGTAATACCATATAATGGTGAATTCTTCCATTTTAGTTATTGATAAGATAACTAGGTCTATGCCCAATGACATTTTCTGTTACCTAATAGAGTACTGAATTCATTATAATATGATATTTTCACTTGATCTTCATATGGTATTGAACTTTGGACCTTGTTATTATAATCTAGAAGTACTATTACTATACTATAGACCCACAGGTCTAACAGTAAAATTTTTTAATATTACTTAAAATATATATTTTTTATTAATAATATTATAAGTTTATTTATAAAAAAACTCTTTTTGCTGATTCTTTGATCACATATAAAAAAGATGTTTACAAGAAGTTTTATATTTTTTTGCTAATAAAGTCTTTGTACTTTTATTAAACAACTTGAAACTTATCTTTATGTATCTCTTCTACAACTAAAAATTCCTCTAGTAAAAAAGTTAAGAAGATGATTAAGGATGAGGACTTGATCATGTTAAAAAGGTTTATCCTGAAATTATCATCCAATACTACTCGAATTTTTGAGATTAGGGAGAAAAAAAATCTTCACAAAAAATTTGTATAACAAGTTGATGGGTCCCAAATTTTTTTTCAAGCTATATTTAAAAATATTCAAGACTGAGAAAAATAACAATAATGCATGTCACAAAGTCTTAAAAACATATTACTTCCTTGGAAAGGAACCAAAGAAATTCCTTATCAAGTATAAAAAATCTATGAAAAAACATGAGGTTTAAAGGAAGGTTAATGGTAAGGTTCAAGAATCAGCTTTCAAAGGAAAGAGCTAGAAAAGTTTATGAAAGGATAACATACAGTATATCCAATGAATAAAAACATTTACTGCACCATCTATTTCAAATTTAAGTTTGGAAAATATCAAATATATAGTATTAGGAAAAATATTAGACAAACTTAATTCTGGTTAAAATGCGGTGATCACATGACTATGGTGTAACTCGACCATGACTGGCTGTCACAGTCTTGCAGAGATTTTTTATCAAAAATAAATGACATGGGGGTGCTGCTCATGGGTCACCCTTACGGCACTCGTGCAGCATTACATTCGAGTGAAATTTCTGGATCATGAGGAAAAATGTAAAACGTGACTTAATCGCGAAAATCGTAAAATTTGTGAGCCATATTAATGTTTCGTGGAACTAACATTAGTTAAATATAATATAAATTATTATAGTACGAAAATTTCACTCGAAAATAGTGCTGTAGGAATGACACATGAGTGACGCAAGGAGAACACCCCCTATGTCATTTATTTTTAGTAAAAAATCTCTATTATTCTATGGAGAAGTATGACCCAGGAGACTGCCACTACTTCTATTTCTAGTATCGAGGAGACTGATGAAATAAAAAAATATCGTTATTTTTGTTGAAAAACTGGCAACATACACCCAAAGGCCAGGTGAGAAGAAGCTACATAAGTCTCTTTCCTATTTGCTTTGACAAATGGATATTTTTGTAAATTAGTGTCTGATATCAACTGATATTTGTTTTCAAGCTTGCCATACGTGCTAAAAACTGATGTCACCTTGGACGAATATATTAAACAAACAGATATGCATAATGTGCACGCCCTATGGGAATGGGAAAATGGAACTGTTCAGGTTATTGAACTTCCTTCGTCATTTCATGAGGATTGCGTTGGTGCAGTTAATGGAGAATTGTATAGCGCTCTTCAATCTGTAAAGAACACTCCTTCTGGCATTAAATTTTCTGAAGCGACGAGTGGGTGTTTTACTAGTTTTCTTCATGCTATCGTATTATGAGTATGTTTACATTAATCACTGTCTTTGACAAAAGCAACAAAAACATGTGGAGGAGGCAAGGAGGCAGATGGATCTTTTCGACCTGTAGGAAAACCTCAAGTGCCTCGAGGTGGATCTGATGGAAGGATATGAAGAGTTTTTAACCCTACTCATTTGATGATGTAATTGTGTTAAATTTCTAATATTTGTGACGACATATCGAATATACCTTTAGAATAAACCCTGGCTCAATCTTGTAATAGAGGTTGCTTACTCTGAAACTGAGACACATCTTAAGGATAAAATAGAGAATTACTGGCTCCTTCCTAATAGGGCTCACAATGCAATTGCTATTAAGCTAAACTACACATCAGATGATACGGTTTCAACGGAGATGACAGTAAGTAATGATAACAAGGCATTAATTTCTGTGCAGTTGCCTTTGTATAATTTTTATTCTTTAATAGGCTTGGCATTATTGCATAAATAATCGAACAGCTATCGGAGCATTAAATCCTGTAATGGTATGTTATGTTATTACATGCTTTTTTTAGTACAGAATAAGTTTAACGTATTTTCTATTTAGTATGAATTTGGAATGATTGACCGCCAAGGAAATCCAATCAATATTGTACCTGGACAATGCATTATTAATATTCAGCTGGGATGTATTTATCATGGAATGCCAAACAACTTCGTAATTCCCATGCCTCCTCTACCTAACCCTATTATCCTCGATCTCTTTTCTGTTCGGTGGGCTATTTTAAATCCCTAATTAATATGTATGACTTCTCTTATATCAGAATTTAATCTAGTCTTATTTCGATATAACTGCATAATTTACATTTAATAAAATTTTCACTGATTTTACCTTTTACAACAATGAGTCTGCAATGCATGAAATACACAGCTTCACTGATAATATAGTGTAGATAGTCTTATGGAATGGGGATACGAAGCATCTATATTATTATCTTGTAGCTATATAAATATTATATTTCATCACAGGCTGTATCAAAATAATCGGTTTTCGTGTAAGTATATTATTTCTTAAATAAATATTCTCAAATGTAAATAAATCAATTCTCGACCATGTTATCTTCAAAAAATCTATGTCTATGGCTTTGTTGATTTCTGATTGGTTCTCTATTGCTTTCTGTTGCAAGATATTCTTTTTTTTTGTTTCTTTTACATTTTATTCTATTATTACTTCACTGTCTGATCTGTCTCAAATTCCTGAAACTATGATAACTTATTGGAGTAGAAATAGACTCTATTGATCCATTATCTAATTGTGAGTCAATGTTGATTCATTGTTTACTTTTATATCTCTAGACCTGAATTTTGTATTTCTATTTTTACCTTTATGAATTTGTCTTTTTGTTTTGAATATATATTTGATACTTCATGAGAGGCAATATTCTTGCAAGAAAATATATTGTTTATATATCTCATCTTTTTCTTCTTTTGTCTTAAAGCAAACTATTGAAAAGTTATACTTCTTGAGTATATAGGGATCTTTGGATATATAATATATCTTATTTTGTATATCATTCAATGCTCTAGTTATTAAACTGTAGTAGGTTTTATCAGTATTTAAGAATCTTGCTGAGTTATTATTTTTCTTAGTTAATATTTAATTGATTTTATTATCACTGAGCTCCGACTTAAAGAATATAGCTCTTGATATTTCTGTGCTAATTTGAGTCATCCAAATTGCTTTAAGGTTTAGACTGAGATATTTGTGTCATTTAATATAGGCTTTTATTTGTGATTTTGTATTACCTTATAGATATGAATATTTTGGACTTCTCCTTATATTTTTAGATGTATCTTTAGGAGATTCTTATTATTTTTTTGATTCATATCTACTAAACATACATGCCAAATAGTAGTATCTACTTTGGTTTTAGATTCTTGAAAGACTTTTCTATCTAAGTTTCTTTTTGTTCTTTGTTTTTTGTGAATGATCAAGAGTATTATATTTTGAATAACAAAGTTGTCTTTCTTTCAGTTAACTTTTTCTATATATTTTATAATATCTTTTTCCTCTTGTATCCAAAAAACTAGCCACTTATTTCTATTGATAAACTCTTTTTGCAACAGGTTTCTTTCTTCTTGTAGGAGTTTAAGAATATTGCTTAGGTATATCTTAGTTTCATTTTCTGTTTCTCCTGAAATATTGACTGTCTTTGTACCTAACCTATAAGTTTTTTTCTTTTTTATAAAGTAAGAATTCATTAATCATATTATGTTTCTATTCCTAATAGTATAGAAACTATATTCACTAATACATTATCTTTTTACTATTTTTTGAAGTTTTTATTATTTTAATTCTTCTATTTCTTATATGCATATTATTATTATTTTATTATTTATTGTTAATTCATTATTTATTTGTTCAATGATTTTCATTGATTATTACTTTAGTTTATATTGACTTTCAGGATTCTTGATAATTTCAATAAACTTATCTTCAATATAGGATTGTAAAAAATCTTCTTTAACTCATTATCTTGTTATTAAAGATATATGATATATTGAGTTAAAATTTGTTTCTTGTGAAAAGTTGTTATATCAATCCTAATATCTTAGCTATAATACTATCTAGAATAGTATATGTTTTTGGTGATAAGGCTACTGGTTTACAGGATTCACTATTTCTTTGTTTTAGTAGTTGTTGTATAACCTATAGAGTAGAATATTCATTGTGTTTTATTAAGAGATTGATTAAAGTGTTTACTATATTCTCTTCTCTTTTATTGACTATTTGTAATATATGTTATGCTCTAATTCATGTTTGATACTAGTTTAGGTTTATTAATAAGTCACATGATTACTTATTTATATTTATCAGTAATCTATATTTAGATTATAAATAAATCTTTCTGAGGTTGTTTTTTTTTTTTTTTTTTTAACCTGCAATCATGCCACAATATCATGTATTTATTGAAAAATTGAAAATGAATTTACAATATTTTACAGATTTTCATAAAGTAACTAACTTATTTTTATACAAAAGTACTCTAAGTCAGATTTTGAGAACAATATTTCATGCCCCTAATAGATTGGTAATAACCTCTATTTACCAGGATCATTGCCAACAGTTTATCACTATTAATTGCCCAAAAACAATGAATTGTTAAGTTAAAAAAGAGAAAGGAAAAGAACAATTGGAGAAAGGAAACAATTCAAGGCCCACTAAAAAAATTCAAAAATAAAAACAACCTCTTCTCAAAAGGGATCTGCCTAATTGAAATAGCTTCTTGTTTCACTTAAACCTTAGAAGAAATCTTTTTTTTTACCTCCTGCAGCATTGAACAAGACAATCCAACTAGTCTTTTATTTAAGTGAACACTGGATTGGAATATCTCAAGGAAAGCATTTAGACCTCAGCTTTTTTCCATTAAAGCTTTGTCATCATTTGAAGAACTTAGATAAGAGATGGGAGTTTTTAATCCACATTACCCATCACTTGATCTTTTGATATTATAGAAGTTTTCATTGAAGAACTTGAGCTTTTTGGGATAACCATTTCCAGAACCTTCCTTCCAATCACCAATGACATTATTAGAACACGTGAATATGACCAATAGATAAAGATGAGTCACTAAAAGGGAAGGCAAGGACAAAAGTCAAATGTCCCTCACTAGGAAACATTAAAATTTTTAAATTAATAACTATTAAAAAACTATCCACAATTGTTTTTCATTATTCAAATCATTGATTTATAGCATTTCCTGACTTTTGTCCCTATTAAAGTGAAGAGCTATGAATTTTGTTCCTTAAAAAAGGACATAAGTGATCTGCAAAATTTTATATGCTAAATACTTTAGGAATCCATCATTAGCTATATGCTAGCAGGTAGTTATATATATTTAAATAAAATTGTCCATTTAGCTAATATATAAAGAGGTGTATACATTTTCTCAAGAACTAGCACAAAACAGAAAAAAAACATTTGCAGATAAAAAAAAAAATTTCTAGGCAAGATACTTAACAGCAGGAATGGTAAAGTAATAAAAGTAGAAGGAAGCAAAATAAAAAATTAACAAAAAAATCAGAAAAAGTTTTTTTTTTTTATTGTCCAATCACATTTTTCTATCATAGATTATTCTTATATCAATCAATTTTTAACAATTGCTATCTATCCAAACAATTACAGCAACTTGCATCAATTGGCCTATATCAATATTATATTAGATGCTATAATAACATTGTTATATAAGTACTGCAACATACAGGCTGCTTACTTTGTTAAAATTTTTTTTTTACCTTAAAAAAAATTTAAATAATAAATATAATTCTGATAATATATTAAACAATACAACAAAAAAAAATAAAATTTAAAACAAATTACCAGCATTCCTTGTCAAAGACCCTTTTCACCATAACCTTAAGCACATACATACCCTAACTATTTTGTTTAATAATCAATTTCTTTTGTCAGTTATTAAATTTTTACTTGTTGAAAAGACTTGTTCTAATAAAACACTTGTTACAGATGCTGTTAAATAATCACATATCATAAGTATCAAATATAAAAATTAATATTCATACATTTTTCATCACTCTAATATATCAATTTCATCATTTACATTTGGAAGATAAAAATATAGCTATAATTTATCTGATTTTTCTATATGATATTACTTAAACAGCTTTGAACTAACTGTTTTTTGGATATCTTTGCCACTGCCTGATGCAGTATTTTCTATGTTATGCTTCTTGTATTTTTGAAAAGCTTCTAAAAACTTTTTTTTTTTTTTTAACATGCTAGCTCATTCCTGTGCCAGCATTGGAACCTTTATGGTCAACTCTCGATAAAAGAAAATATATGTATTGTATAACAAATACTATATTTTATTATATTGAATGCCACATTTGGATAGGATTATTATAAAAGAAACCCTAGATATAATTACCATTCGATTTATCAAAATTACGTGATTATCATAGCTCTGAAAAAATTAATCTCCGCAAATTTTTAAAATTTATTTTTTTTTATATTCAATACTTTAATTTAAAAACTTTATATAATTCTAAAGCTTAAATTTTATACTTTATGATAATTATTTAATATTTTATAAAAAAATTAAT